TAATAATAATAATAATAATAATAATAATAATAATAATAATAATAATAATAATAATAATAATAATAATAATAATAATAATAATAATAATAATAATAATAATAATAATAATAATAATAATAATAATAATAATAATAATAATAATAATAATAATAATAATAATAATAATAATAATAATAATAATAATAATAATAATAATAATAATAATAATAATAATAATAATAATAATAATAATAATAATAATAATAATAATAATAACAGTAATAATAGCATTTAACAATGCTAATGACAAGTAAAGAAAAATTGGGTACCGAAAAGAAAGAGGAAGAGAGAGAGTGAAAAGAATTAAAAGGGAAAATGAGATCGGTTTTGATGGTACAAATTATTCATTTTCTTTTTTTTTTGTTTCTTTCCAAAAACTAATTTTTATTAACACCAATAGGATAAAATAAAAAAACACAGTCTTTTTTTTTTTTTTATTTGTTTTGCATATATTTGTTAGAGATAAAAGAGAAAAATAATATAAAAGTACCGTACACTTTTTTTGTTTTCCACGTGAAAAAGAAAATAATATACTTTGTAATTTTGAAGAAAAAAAAAGAAAAAAAGGAAGAAATTCGTTTTTACTAATTTAGGAATTAATGCAAATTTGGAGAGTTTGAAAAAAGAAAGCAAGGAAAAAGGCCAATTTTACATTATTTTGTAATTATTAGCTAAGGTCAGAGATCAAAACCTTGAAAAGATCATAGTTCATTATGGTTTGCTTATTTGCTTGTTTTATTTCGATTAAAATTTTAATTTGAATTTCTTTTTACGACTAATATTTGGGCTAATAAAAGAAATGTAATTGGTTGCTTGAAAATTGATCAAAACCCGTTTATAGCTAAATTCAAATTAATCCAAATTTTAATCCGTCTATTTTTGCAATGAAAATAATTTTAAAAAAAAGTGTTCTAAGCTTCAAGCTATTATCTTGTCTATTGGCTACAATCTTTTTTTTTTCACTAGTTGCAATTTTTAATTAAATACTATGATTGAAATAATGTGGACTGTTAAACTATTCGAAAATTGAACTCAAATAAGTTTTAAAGAAATTTGATGGACATTTGATAATAACTAATTTAGATTTAGCGATCAAACAATAACAGATTTGCTATCACAAAAATTACTAATATTCTTTAAAAATTATTGCTTGATTTTGTCTTTTCATTCAGTTTAATTTCAAAATTTAATTAGCACTTCATCTTTTTTCCATGATAATTTAAAAGTTGAGGATTTACGAGTGACATCTTTAAAATTCATTATTATCTTTATCCAATATTGCTCAGTTGACAATTCTCATTGGCTTTTTTTTTTTTTTGCTGCTTTAGTCAGTTTTTATTTGGTTTAAAACGAATTCTTTTCACTTTCAATTAACAAGTAAAATAATGAAAAAAAAAAAACTGTAAAAGTGGCAAGCTAATTCCTAACTTTATTGCCTCACAAAAGAATTTCCGAATTCAGCAGAACATTTCCAGGATCGTTTTAAAATGGTGACATAATGGCAAGCAAGCAATAATAAAATTCGATGAGGTATTTTAGAATGAAAAATTATTTTGCCTTTACAAATGATTGAATGAAATTCTTCGTTGAACAAAATTATATTATCAATGAATTATCACAAAGAAGAAAAAAAAGGAAAAGAAATGGATGAATAAAGATCATGAAATTTTTAAAAAGAATGAGAAAATTACGATAAAGTAAATAAATCAAAAAAATTACGATGAAGTTAAATAGATCAAAGAAATAGGATGAAATAAATAGATCAAAAAATCATGATAAGATTAGACAAAAAATTATGATGAAGTGAAATAGATCAAAAAATTATGACGAAATAAATCGATCAAAAAATCGTAATGAGGTTAAATAGATCAAAAAACCACGATAGAGTTAAGTAGATCAAAAAACCGTGATAAAGTTGAATAGATCAAAAAGTCATGATGATGCAAATAGATCAAAAAATCATGATAAATAGATAAATGATGATAAATAGATCAAAAAATTACGATAGAATTAAGTAGATCAAAAAACCGTGATAAAGTTGAATAGATCAAATCATGATAAATAGATCGAAAAATTGTGATAGAGTTAAGTAGA